GGGAAAGAGGAGATGGCCACGGAGGAGGCAGGTTTGTGAGGATGAGGGGAGGATGATCCATCCAAGAGCATGTTTACATACAGCCTCATATAATTCCCACATGTTATTTTATTATTGATTTATAAGTGAGGAAAATGCGGCTCAAATAGGCTAATCTGCTAGTTAGTCCCAGAGCTGGAACTTGAACTTGTGTCTCTCACTCTTCCAAACCAGGGTGCTTTCCAGTGCAACAGGGCTCTTCAGCTTGTATAGGAGTCGTTGTATTTCCCAGAGAGCCAAATAATGCTAGGTTCACTCAGTAGACACCCAATAAATTGTTGCTGTCTGGACAACAGACAGGAAAAGAAAAAAAAGAAAGAAAACCTTGAAGAGCTTCAGGACAACGAGGAGATGGGGCGGCACTGGATCTCTTTTGTTTCAGGCAAAAGCTTCTGACCCTGGGGCTACAGACGGGAAAGGAAAGTGAAGAAGAGGGGGAAAAAAACTACAATTCCCAAAAGACCATAAAGCGTCCACCTTACGCATGCGTAGACCCCGCCCTAATTCTGTGGCTTCCCAGCAGCTCTTTTCGCGCATGCGCTCTTCGATCAGTCTTCTTCCAGCCCCTCGTTTTCCCCGGCCGGAGTTGGTACCTGGACGTGCTGCGACCTTCATCTCCGGTTGCGATGTTGCCCTTCTCTTTGCTCTGGGCGACTCGGGTAAGAATGGGGCTCCGGAGGCTGGGTGACTAGTAGGAAGTAAGCTCCCCTCCTATCCTAGTTAACTATTCACAAACTTGGGTTCTCTTGGCGTTTAAACGCACGTGGTCTGGGTCCTCCGGGAGGGGAGAGCGGGAGGGGAGAGAGAATGTGCAACTAGGGGGTCCCTGAGACCCCCGGCGCACGCGGGGTGATTGGGGCCCCTCTCCATTCCGGTAACCAGATGCCCCAAGGCCTTGTGACCGCCCATTTGACGTGGCATTAGGGAAGAGAACTGTGGACCCTGTGCTGGCCAGCGAGCGGGGTTCCTGGCCTGGCCTGGACCGGCGAGCTAAGTCTTTCCTGCGAGCTCTGAGCTATGCAAATGATGCAGCTGGTCACCCTTGCTTGTATCAGGGGTCCCGCGGCTCTGTGGGCTGGAAGGAGGTGG